AAATCATAGCATTAGCATCCTTTAGAACCCAATAAAACATATTTACATGCGGGAAAGTTGAATACATCCTGCTTTGTGGATGATAAAAGAGCAAGCATGCCTTGTTATAAACCAAGGTGTCTAAATACATCCAGATAGTAGTTGAGAGCTAGCATCCTTGCAAAATCAGAATTAGCTCTTGCACTGGGATGACATATCTTGAGGAGACAGTTTTGAATTTGCAGTGTAGTTTTATATTTTCAATTGGAAAACCATACCCTCCCCAGCAAGCCTAGGGGCTTTTCAGGATGAAACCAAACACTGTACCATCAACCTAATTTGAAAGACTACAGATCCTTCCTGTTTAATTCATCTCAAAATGGCATGTCCAGAATCTTGTTGCATACCCTCCTGATTTGAGAGGGACACTCCCGATTAATTTTCTGTCACCTCACTTTTTCAGCTGCATTTAAAATGTCCCAGTTTATCTCCCCTTCCCTATTTACTCCCTTTGTCCTCAGCTTACATCCATTGCTGCAAATTGAGTGAAAATTTGAAAATTACTTTCATTCAAAATCCAGAAGAGAGATGAAGAAGATGAAGAAGAAGCATCTCCTAGCTTATATTGTCTTTCTCATTGATATTGTTTGCCATCTTCAGCCTCCTCTGATGTTGCATGGCCACATGTGTCTCAGTTTTCATGTGGAATGTTGAAGGATATGATATTGCTGGCTTATGCTTGCATGCATTCTCCTATGGAAGTATGTGTATGTTGACTTATGATAAACCTATGAATTTCATAGAGTTTTGTTAGGCAAGAAATATTCTAATGTGCCAGTTCCTTCATCTGAAATATAGTTTACAGCACTTGAAAGTAGTTGGAACTCTTCACCTGATGCAAAATGTCCATGTTCAGTTTGAGTTACAGAAAGAGTTCTGCATTTAGCATCACTGTGCATGGATACACACTGCAAAGGGATGTGTGCCTGCATTCATGTTCACTGTGTTGAGCACATATAACCACACACATTTGAATTTGTATTCAGTTGCCCATTTGTTATCTTATTTTATTTATTTAATTTATATCCCACTTTTCCCCTTCAAATGTGACCCAAGATTTGAGTTAAAACAAAATACAGTTAGAAGAACAGATAATCCAAAAAAATAAAAAATAAAATAAACAACCAAAATAATGGTATTAAAATTAAAAGCATTTTAAGAGGCAGTTAACATATAGCGATAATGATAAAATATAATATAAACTATCTTTTGGCTTGCTTGTAAAACATTGCCATTCAACACAATGGTTGCATAGCAGAACTAATGGGTAGCACACATTCTGACATACATTTTTATGCCTTCTTGGGTGGATGAACCAAGTTTTCATATGGCTTACACACCTACCTTTGCTCTCCATATGCTCCAGCTGTTCATCTGTACTATAGACAGTGTCCCAGAGGTGAGTTTAGTCATCCCCATCTCCATGTGCTGAGAAAACACATGAAGGAAATAGGCATGGATGGACTTATCTATTTTCCCTCTCTCTTATTTTTGCCTGTGTTGAATCGTTAAGGACGTTATCACACGGGGCCTAAAGCAGTCCCATCCCTGTCACATCCCCATCCCATTGTGGTTCCTTTTCCATCCAGAACTTACTGGTATACAGAAAGCAGCATCATTCCGGTATCATTCTGGTTGCGGCAAGTGTAATTCCGGCATTCAAAAGAACGGGGATGATGCTGGATGATGCCTCAATGGGACAGGGATGGGACAGGGGTGGGATGGGGATGGGTGCGATGTCATGTGAAGACATGAGGAAAGGAACCGCAATGGTACGGGGATGGGACGGGGATGGGCGGGGTTTCTCTGCGACATCGTGTGAACACAGGGGAAAAGGAAGCGCAATGTGATGGGGATGCGATGGGGATGGGACTGCTTTAGACCCCGTGTGATAACGTCCTATGTCTTTTCATTCCAACTTGAACACCCATCTAGAGAAGAATCCCCACTGAATACAATTACCTGCAATACATCAAGGGTAACAAAGAGAGTAAAGGGAAGAAGCACTAATGTGTTTTCCCTGCCACACATTTTTAGATGGAGAATCTACACATACATTAGGAACATCCCAATAGGGCTTCAGTCAACATTAGTCAGAAATGACTTGAGGGCATACAACAATTTAGAACATCAGATCATCAGTTCACATTGCTCAGCATGACTCATAGTCTGGTGGTGCTCTCTGGATGTTTTTGATTACAATGGCAGCCATCCCTGACCAGTGGTCATGCAGGATGAGGCTGGTTGGGAACTACAGTCCCAAATGTCTGAATTGCCATCAGACAGGATTGTGGTGGTCTACATCTATTGCCAGTAGCTTTGAGTTGCTTCAGAAAAGATACTTTCTTAGTCCAGCCTGAAAATAGCAGGTATTGAATGTGAAGTCGTAGGCTTTCATGGCTGGCATCCATAGTTTTTTTGTGGGTTTTTTTGGGTAGTGTGGCACGTCTCTTTTGTGCCTCACCAATGACAGAGTGGCATAGTGGCAACTCTTCTAGAATATGGCCACACAGCCCAAAAACCCCACAAAAACTAGCAGGTATTGAACTTAGGACCTTGTGCACACAAAGCCCAGTTTCAACAACAAAGGCCAAAAAAGCTGCAGAGGAAAATTTTGGACACCCAAGTCTCCTCCCAGTGCAATGCCCATGATTGTTGTTTGTTGTTATCGTGTGCTTTTAAGTTGTTTCAGAGTTATGGCCATCCTAAGGTGAACCTATCATGGGGTTTTCTTGGTAAGTTTCTTCAGAGGAGGTTTGCCATTGCCTTCCCCTAAGGCTGAGAGGGTGTGACTTGCCAAAGGTCACCCAGCAGGCTTTATGGGCAAGTGGGGGATTGAACCCTGGTCTCCAGAGTGATAGTCCAACACTCAGACCACTATGCCACTCTGTCTGTCATTGGTGAGGCACAAAAGAGAGGGGGAATACTTTAGCATCATCCCTTTTGCAGGCATTATGTCATCTTTCTCTCCTGAAATTATGGTGCTAGTGGAAAAATAGGTCTTTGGAAAGGTGGAAGAAAAGTGAAGCTGCAGATAAAAATGTCAGTCCGAGAGTAAAGGAAAATTGCAAGGCGAAGGGGGACTGGTTGTCTAGGCTGGCATTTATATCCCCGCAGTACTTGACAGCTGGATATGGTGTTTAGACCAGGTGGCATTTCTGTCTCAGTGAAGCACAGGCCATAATTGATGAACTGACTTGAACTGGTTGGTGATGCTTTGAACTCCATAAATTGTGCCTTGTGCATGTGAAGCACCTCATTAACCTATAATGGACAACCCCAGCATCATGAATACCAACTTGCCCTGGGCGAAGCTCCTCTGGCTAGCGAGTGTTGCTTTGCTTTACATTAAAAATATTAGATAACCTGTTACACAAGCAGGGCTATTCAGATTCTATGTATCCAGTACAGACTTTTTGAAATGTGCTTTTCAGGAAGACAGAGCCTGGGACTAATGAGCCACGTGTGGATCCCAAGAAGTATTTTTTTTTTGTGGCTTCTGGACTCGAAATTTTTGCAATAAAAACAATACCCCCTCTTCCCAGATTCCCTGGCAAATACCTCCTAAAAATGAACACTTGTTGTGACTTTTCAGGGCTGGTCCTGTTCATGGTGGGTCCTTAGGGTGGAATTTCCCCTTCTCCAGAACCCTTGGGCTTTATTCATCAGAAAACATTCAGTCCATGCCTTCTGCTGTGAAAGAGAATAAGAAGAGGAGGGAACATGTTAGGGAAGGATTTTGCGTCCTCACTCACTGTTTGTCCTACTGCAAAGTTAAACAGTGGAATTCACTGCCACTAGATAGAACCACAGCTGCTAAACTAGGCAGCTTTTTAAAAAGAACTGGAGAAAAACATGAAGGTTTGGACCACTAGATGCTACTGGTTAGGATGGCTAAATATTCCCTCTGGTGTCAGAGGAAGTATGCCTCAGCTATGATATATGAATGTGAGATGGGGAATGTGAGGATGCTATTGTACTCTTATCCTGATGGTGTGTTTCCCAAGAGCAATTGATGGACCACTCTATAAACCAAAAAACTGGTCTGTAGAAGTCATGATCAAGCTCTTTTTGTGTAGCTTTGTACTGCATGGGGAGGGATTAGTGCATATAGAGTACAGCTGAAAAACAATGAATCATGGAGTATGCTTTTTGTGCACCTCAGTTATTTCTTACAGACCCACATCCACCCCTAGCAAACTGTTGGAGAATGTGAGAGACAGTAGTATATCTCACAAGCAAAATGTTTAATATTCACAAGCAGAAGGTAAGCAACAATCAGTCCCATTCTATCACCATGTATGTACCTAGTCTAGCAGAGAAATAAGATAGGTTTAGTCTTCTTTGAAAAACATGTGAACTAGGTTTACTTACAAATAGGAATGGTTTTGTCACTGTTCAGTTAAAAGTTCTGCATTATAATCATATGTAAACACGTTACCTTTGTTGTGACAGTGGTTGTACGCCTTGAAGTCATTTCCAGTTTATGGCATCCCCAGCATGGTGTAGTGGTCTGAGTGTTGGACTACAACTCTGGAGATCAGGGTTAGATTCTTTGCTCAGCTGTGGAAACCCATTGGGTGAGCTTAAGGGAGTCATACACTCAGCTCCAGAAAAACCTTAGGGTAGACATAAGTCAGAAATGTCTTGTAGGCACCTAACAACAACAAAGCAATTTATCATGGGGTTTTCTTGGCAGGATTTGCTCAGAGGGGCTTTGCCACATCCTTTCAACGAGGCTGAGATAATATGACTTGCCCAAGATCACCCAGGGGTTGCCATGGCCAAATGGGTACTTGAACCAGAGTCCCAGAGTCCGAGTCTAACATTCAAACCACGACATCACACTTTACCTTCCAAGCCTTTAAAGTACTTATTCTTTCATAAATTCCCATGCTCCTAGCTATTTTCCCGGATGTTATCTTTCCTGTTTCAATTTCTGTTTTGCAACTTTAGAATATGTCATTTTAACAGGAAGAGAAACAAGGGAAGGGAAAGTGTTTTGAATCCTTGCATCGCTTCCTCATGTGGCTTTTTGTATCTTGATGGTCAGCTAATAGCAAGGTTGCCATTGTGTTTTGCTCTGATAGGATATTGATTCTTGCACAGTGCTACAAAACATATTCTTGCAAAACCTATCTTTGGTTACTCTGCTTATATTAAATATTTTGACTGGCTGTATCTTCAATAGTGCAAAGCTGAAGGAGGAAGTTTTCTCTTATCACAATAAAACTCTGGAGAACAAAATAATGCTGCCAGAGACACTTGACGAATTGGCCAGAATTTTAATACAAACGGACCTTTGGCCCTTTTACACAATACAGTTATAGCTCGATGATTCCACTTTAAATGCCATGGTTTCATTCTATGGAATATTGGGATTTGCCATTTAGGAAAAGGCATTTAGATATGCTCAGCTAGAGAACTCTAGTGCCTCACCAAACTACAAATCCCAGGATTCCACATGATGTACCTGTGATGGTTGAAATGCTATAATTGTGTAGTGTGAAAGGACCTTTTATCTTCTGGACTAATGTTTATATCAGAATTTTTAGGATGTTCCCTACCCCAGAAGACATAGATCAGATTAATACAGAAACATGGCAGTATGGCTACATGGAAGAAATGCATGGGAAAATGTCACAGATGGGAAATAAATTGATTTGCCAATTCCTAAGCAGCTCTCTGTTACAATTGCTTTGGAGTAAAATCGCTTTGTATGGAAGATGAAATCTCTCCTCTAAGTGCTTCCCAAGCTGAGATAGTCAGTGTTATGTATCTTCACCATACATCATTTGGAACTTGCAGTGTTAAAATGTTTTTGGAAATAAATGATCTTTTTTAAAAAAAACAACAACAGAAGCAACAGAAACAAACAAAAAACTTGTCTTCTGTTCCCTCCAGACTTTTGCTTTCCTTAATTTCCCTGGAGGGGTTTCTTAATGGCATCACATGATGTGATCACGTGGCATGGCATCAATTATTGAAAACCTCACTTGGTTCATTGGTTTCACATTTCATCAATTATTGCTTCAGTGTCTTTCTTTCCAGATGGAGCCACAACAGCCG